TGATATCGCTTTATTTTGTTTATTTTTTGCGCCTCGATCGAAAGCTGAACGCTTCGTCGTCGTCGTCGTCGTCATCGTCGTCATCATCATCGTGCTCAATCGACAGCCATAGGTGTTGTGTGCGGTATGTTTCGTGTTTAGTGTGTAGCGTACGCAAAGGATCGCATTTGAATTCGATTCCATGAAATTAGATCGAAGTTTATTTATTTTGTTTTGAATTTTAAGTAAATATGTAATAACTTTGTGGCTGACACATCGAGAACATATTCTGAATGCATCGGCAACATTGTGGTCTGTGCTTGGCCATGCTGTTCCTATGATGAAGGCAGCGAGAAAATGTGAGTGAGAAGGAGAGCGAAAAAAAAGCGGCGATACAAAAATATCATAGTTACCTCTGTCAACATAAACAACGATGCTAAAGTACACAAAGTATTTGCGCCTAATGCATGCACACAAACATACACCATTGAAATGTATGGCAACGCAATTTCAACAATTTCGAATGTTCAAAGCATGTGGCAAAATTGAAACCTGGAATCTCGACACTCGCACGCTCAACATGAACACACACACACACACACACACAGAGAGAGAGAGAGAGAGAGAGAGAGAGAGAGAGAGAGAGCAGATAGAAAAAAAGCAGAGCGTTGAAAAATGAAAACACGCAAGAATTCCGTTGGATATCTGTTATTTTCTTCGGTGGCTCGGGTCATTTGTCCATTTTGTTTATGTATGGCCAAGTATGGAAACAATGGATGCAACTGAAATGAACCTTGAATCGGATTGGTCGGGACGAATATCAACGCGGTGAAAATATTAAAGTGGAATGAACGAACGAGTGAATTGGAATAGAGGGAAAAAAAAGAATTATTATAAAAGTGAACGGCAGAGAATGTATGCGATGTTGGAATTTAACATCAAAAGAGAGCATATTGTGCATGTGTATCTGAGAACGCCGATCGGCACTGAGATCACTATGTTCAACCGAAATGCAGCACGGGTTTTTTTTCATTCGCTCGCTTTCGCTCTCTCTGTTTCTCCCGTTTCAACTAAACTTTTTATCGTCGTTTTCGTTCATATTACTTTTGACCTCTCACGTCACACACGGCATGTTTTTTTGCCTTCTTTTGTGTGCTGTTGGTTGTTTTAATTCTTTTTGCTGTAGAAACAAAAACAGACGGACATCTCGACACTGACTGATAGAACGATTCGTTCGTGTATACTTTTTTTTGTTCCTCTCCCCATTCGATTCGATGCTGTACGCGTTCTCTTTTTCTCTCGCTCATGCACACTTTCCTTGGCCTGGCTTTTGTCTGTGTCCTCTACTACACGTAGTTTTTTTTTTCATTAAAAACTCTCCCATGTCGTTACACCAAACAAAATGATAAATTATATGTAGTCTGAAAAGCGCACATCAGAATGCACGTTCATACATATATATACACTTCGTCTTTTCGGTTTTGGTAAGTGTTTGTGCACCACCACCGCTGCCGCCTTTGCCGCCATTCGCCCATCACATCATAATATGTACACACTAGCTTATGATTTTATACTCAAATTGTTGTTGTTGTTGTTGTTGTTGTTTTCTCTTTCGGGATTGAAATCATGTCTTTTCGTGTGATGAAATAGTGTGTGCTTCTAATATGCCATATTGGTCTCTTTGTATTCAGTCATTCTTAATAGGTAATATTCTTTATATTGAAGAAAAATTTGTCGGTGTAGCGCACATATTATATTCTTATGTGTAGCATTTTTTTCTCTTTCGCTCCCGCCTGCTTATTTGTTGATTTCATTTTATGTTTTTTATTTATTCTCTGCTGTTGTTGTTTCATCAGTCGACGTCGTTTAGTGTGGATGTGTGTGTGTGTGTGTGTATGTGTGCTTGGGCCGCTGAGTGCCATGTGTACATGGTCTGTGTATGATAAAGTTTGATGTTTCGTGTGTTACAAGTACAATTTTGTACGGATGTAGAGAGATAGGATGAGAGAGAATATAGTCGCTGCATGTGTGCCATTTACGCTACCTATCGATAAACAACGAAATGAGATGAATAACACGTTCATTCGACTACGAATCCATACACACAATGTTGTTGTTATAGTTTCATTCGTTCGTTCGTTGTTTTGCTTTTTCCATCTCATGTTCCTGCTCCGGAATGATCCATTTTTTATATGAGCGAATGAAACGCAAAATCAAAACGACGATAAAGACCATGGAATACAAAGAATAAGATCGAACGACGAAATAAGAATGTGAACACAGACGAACGAAGTGCCGGGTTATGGACGAAACAACGAACAGGCGAGAATAAGAAACAAAAAAAAATTAAATCGCTTGATTTATTCGTTTTGGAGTTGATTTCGTTTTTTGTTATCTGGTTCTCTCTTTGTGTCTTGACTTCTTGGTTGTGATTCTCTTCTTTGTTACCTGAACGACATATGCAAAACTATGGCTCTCCAAAATAACACAAACGACGACGACGACAACGCCGATGATGACGAAGAAGAAATAATAAAAAAAAAACGCAACAGCTCCATATATTTTTAAACAAAATGGCCGACTCACATACACGCGCTCTTTCTCTCTCCTATTGAGCAATGTCGAGATCAGTAATTAAGATCGAACAACAAGAGCAATAACCGTTTCGCTTTTAATGCTGATGTGAGTTGCGTTTTTTTTTCTACTTCGTTTCTCTTCTTTTCATTCTGTTTTTTTTTTTTGTACGTTCGGCTGCTCTTCATCAGTTCGTTTTTAATTTTGTGTGCTGCTTATCCCTTCATTTACCGTCATTCGCTTGACGTGAGTTTTTTTTCTTCTTCTTCTTCTTCTTCTTCGTTGTTGTTCAGGGCAAAGCGATAAAATTTGTCCACGTAGAAATGAATACATTTTATTGTTTTTCGCCGCACTCATTTTATTCTCTCTCTCTCTTTTTTTCCATCGCTGTTGCCTTCTGAAGAATCAAATACTTGAATTTATTCTTTTCTTCTTCTTCTTTTTCAATTAAGTACTTGAATTTATAGCGGTAAAATGCTACGAACAGAATATACGCAGAACGACAGAGAGAATATTGAGGAAGACAGCGAACGACTGAAAAAAAAACGAAGCATTAGCAACAGCAGCAGCAGCACGCATGAGTTCAAACAATCGATTCAGTGTGTGTTCGAAATTGGCTTTTTCCAAGCGATTGAAAGGTATTTTTAGACCGATCTAAATTTAAAAACAACATAAATTCCAGGTTGAACTGACTCAAAATTACAATCATAAAAATGTTATTTATGTTGAAAACAACAGACTCGCTCGTGAACAGCACGCATTCAACGGTGTATATCATTCAGGAAATGGGCCTTGTTGCGATGCATTTTGACGCACACCCAAAAGCTGAATCACCGTTTTCAACGAGTGAGCGAGCAAACGCGCGAGCAAGAGAAGAAACAACAACAAATTTGCACATTATGTATATATCACTCGAATTGTGGTCCATTTCGAGCATAATCACCCGTTTAGTGTGTGCCATTTGTCAAACGCCGAATGAAATGAGTTGATTGTATTAATAAATTGTATGGCATTGAAGAATCACATGCTTGATTCTTGTTCCTCTTGAAACAGAAACGTTTCGAATCTCTCTCACGTGATGGTTTGCCATTAAAGTAGCTCAATTCAGGATTGAAAGCGTAGCCCATACGTACCACCGAGCTGCGCTAGTACACTTACGGTAGATTTGAAAGGAAAAACCCCAAAAATCAGAGAAAAAAGAGAAGTTAAACAGATATACATTAACATTTTCGACCGACAAAGAGATTGAATTTCGGTTAAATCGAATATTCGACTTTGTGACGACATTGCAATACCCGTGTTATGTTTGTATTACTTCAAGATGAAAACTCGAGCAGAGCAGAGAGCGAGAGCGAGAGAGAGAGAGAGAGAGAGAGAGAGAGAGAGAGAGAGAGAGAGAGGAAAGAAGAAGAAAAAAAAACCGTGTCTATCCGGTAAAATTGAAAATGAACGTACAGAAAAACCCCCGAAACAAGCTGAGATTTAACGAGTGTGTTTGCGTCTCTCACTAGAGCATAGAGAGCTATGCTTTTTCCGAATTGATGGCGATAAAGGAAAAAGTATCGAATTTCACGTGTATTTTCGTTGTATGCACTTCTTCGTGTTTTTCATTCAATTTCGGACTTAATTTTTCATCATTTTTATTTGTGTGTGCATCTTCCTCTCTCATAACAAAATGAACGAAAATGGATACGGCAAAGCCCAACTGATTCAAACAGCATTTGGTTCGAACCACAGAAAAAAGAAGAAGGAGAAAAAAAATGCACAAACGTCAGCGTGCAAAAAGTCATTTTCTCATCGTTTTGCCCTTTTCGAGTTGGGATTTTTTTTCCTCCTCGGTTTTCGCTGTGCCAAAGTTGTGAGAAACTCATTTCAAAGTCACTTTTGTCTAACAAGTGTTTGAGAACATAAATGTTTTCTCCTGTTACGATCATCTGAGCCATTATAATTTAATATTTATGCGATTTACGACTGCAGCAACAGCAGCAGCACAAAGAGGAGTGAAAAAAATGTGTTGACTGTAGCCAAAATTTGACATTTATTTCAGCCTTTTGTTGCACGGGACAAATGTTCTAACATTTGCTCATTGGTTTTATTGCAGCTCGTTTTAGAAGAGAAATTGCGCACTCGACGAAGGCGCTACCGAGCAAAAACAATAAAAACAACTGCAAAGAAGGCGAGAGGAAAAATAACACAAATCAAAGAGTACAAAAAGCGGAGAGAGAACGAAGCATGCACACACATATTTGCATGCTTCTCGATAGCTGTGTATTTCAAGGTGAAGAGAGCCCGAATGAGAAGAAAAAAAAAACAACAGTACACGGGCTATTAGATGTGAAAAAAAATTACGAAATGTTGTATATTGTCCTATTCGCTCTATACCTATATATCGTCTATGTTCTTATTTTCCCTACGGTTTGCATGAAATTGCTAAGAAAATTACTTACCACCAATTGTTGCGAACTAGGTGAGTGCATGGTTTCGTGTTCGTGCTTTTCGAGTTGATCACGATTTGGGAACGAGGCGGAGCACTGTGAGCATGCGTATGATCCGTCCACCGATATACTTGGACTAATGGAACTACCTCTTTTCTCATCATTGATTTCATCTTTGATGCTATTCGATGAATGTGTCGATGTCGGTGTGTGCTGTGCACGATGCTTCATAAAAAAATCAACTGGCATATTCTCGTTATCACCAGATAAACCTGACACCAACGACGAGTCTAAATGGCACGAAAAGAGAAAAAGAGAGAGAGAGAAAAAAAAACAAACACACAGTGAGATAAATACATATGCATAATTATGGTCGTCAAGTTGTCGTCAATTTATTGTTTTCGAAAGAAACTCATAATTCTTTTTTTTCGTTCCGTTTTATTTGGGTTGATTAAAAATCGAGTGAGAATAAAATAAAATGCACATAAAAAAATTGGTTTTAAAACAAAAGAGTGTTAACAACGGAGTACCTAAGGAGAATTGCGTCATTCGCAAAGTAGAAAACTGGCGAATTGTTTGGATTTGACCAAAAATGAAAGCAACATTTTCTTCTCGCCGTTTAGTCAGTCCATTGGAAATTGTAAAGATCAACAACAAAGTGTCCAGAATAACATATGTTGCGCGAAATTTTGCATGCGCGACTACTCTCTGTCGGCCCCTCTCCAAACACAAAAACCATAACGTGAACACTACTATAGATAGCATATGGCCAAATGTGAAACAACTTCATTTATTGATTCGATCAATGATGGGCACAAAAACAAAAGCCCAACCAAAAACAAGCAATAAACGGTTTTTTGTTTGTCTCTCCGCATCTTTGCCACTTCCATCTATTCGCACATCTTCGCAATTTCTGAAGGGACAGAGACAACGGAATGAACGAACAACAAAGAAGCGACGAACAAGATGAAGCGAGCGAGAAAAAATGGCGGCGAATGGTAAGTGCTATTATTCTTTTCGTTTGATTAATGCGAAAATGCAAAGAAATTATTTGTGCTGCTGCTTCTGCTGCTGCTGCTGCTTTTGTAATGGTGGACTTGAAGTGACTGAACACGTGTATAAATGCGTAAGTATCGTATATAGAATAACGCCAAATGTATACGTCGTATATATTGAATGTGTTGAGTTACTGGCAGTGCGATGATCTCATCTCACACACAACGTATGCGAAATTCCGTCAACGGGAATGAAGTACTAGTGAGCCAGCCAGCCAGCCAACCTACCAACTAAACTGAATAATAAGCCAAACTGAAGGCTGGCTAGCCATTTGCACTGCAATTCATCTACGTTTATCATTGCTTCATAGACGGTGAAACACGAACGGTGTGTATGAATAAAAATCAACATTGAAATGAATGGAACTTGTGCTTTCGTTGAATTGTGCTTGCGAACGTGACAGCGTGCGGTCGATAGAGTGCGATGCTTCAATGATCACGACATCTTTTCAGCCAAACACACAAACGAAATGGAAAAGAAATCATTTCAAAGTAAACATAAATGGTTTCATTCGTTTGGTTGTTTTGTTTATGAAGCTAAATATTGTGTGTAAGAATGGTTGCTGCTGGTCGTCGTTGTAGTCGTCGTCAAATGACGGCATTATTACAAGAAAATGTGAACAAACGCAAGCGTTTCACCAACGCATCAACGCGAACTCATCAATTTAGTTGAAAGTGTCTTGTGCGAGTGTGAGTGAACATAACGGCAAAATGCATGCGTACTTTTTTAGTACCTTAATTTATATCAATTAACCACATACGGGTTGTCTGAGCGAGAAGCGACCATACGAAAAAGAAATGAAAAGCCAATGTACGATTGGTGTAGCGTGTGGAGTGGCACAACATATATATATATATACACACACTGGTCATTACATACAATATAATAATCTGGCGATAATTTTTGTTCATACAAGGCTGGTCTTGTGTACGGAGAAACAAAACCCGGTTTCGCCAGTACCTGCACATTGCCAGCACACACGATTTGCTTTTGGGCGATTTTGATGTTGATTGAACCTTCAACAGAACTTCTCATTGTTATTTATAAATCAGGAAAACTATAATTCATTCCACCGTTAAATGAAATTGAAAAGAAAAAACAACAACAACAACAACAACGCAGCTCATCGAATGCTGAATAAAAGAAATTGAAGCGGTAATCACACAGCGGCAGCAGCAGCGGCCACAGCATCGAGCTCATTTCATATCTTAAATAACCGCAGCAGCATCCACAGTCATTGAGCCCGGACTCGAGCATTTAAGAATACACATCAAACAACAAAAATAGAAAATCTCAATACAATACAATGTTATTGTTTCTTACTCTCGCTCAATATTTATTTGCTTCGTTTTTTTTTCTTGTTCCTTTCGCCCAAATTACCAATATTCCATTTACGAGCCGTCGACGTTTTACGTGGCAATGAGTACTAGCATACAGACACACACACACACCACACCATTCGAAGCGAACAAACGCATACACAAAAGCGACCGCATGAAATATTGATATATGGGCACATTATATGTATATATATATATATAATTTTCATGAGCCTATTGAATATGCCAGCACAAATTGGTGATTTTATAGAAATGAACTCCTTATTACTAGATGTGTTCTATTAAATGTGAATGCGCGTTGTTTGCTCGTTTCGAATGGCGGCAATTCCATTGAATTTCAATTGCTCTTTTACATCGTCAGCCAGCCAGCCACACTGGGTACGAATAGGTAAAACGAGTCAATGGCTTTGAGAAGCATTTCAATGCCGCGTACACTGTGATGATCGATTACCATCGCTCATCTCGATGCTGTTTCTCTGACGACAATCATAAATGTGATAATTGTAAACTGATTAAAATATTTCAAACCATTCCACCATTCCAAGTCTGAGTTTTTTTTTTGGCTTATCAATTGACGTGTCTGAAATGGTTTTCGACCTTAGTGACAAAGAAATTTTTTTTGAACTCACAGAACCAGTGATGTTGTTCGATTCCACAGAAAGGTTTGGGTGTATGTTTTCTTGAACCGAATGTCAAAGATGAAAATAATGGCCTCTCCATTTGCAATATGATCTTTTTTTTCAGCTCGAAAATGTGTTCCCGAATCCGAAAGTTTGTCGGTTGAAATAACGGAATTTCAGGTTTTTTGATTCAAGTCCGAAATATTTTTGGTAAGCATGTCTTTGTCGTTCTTTCGTGTCAATACATCGTCGTGGGTTCTGTTATTGTTAATTTGAGGCGGCTGCTGATGTTGTGATTTACATCGGCCTTGCACATTTTCCTTTGAAATGGCAATGTGTTTTTCGAATGTGTGGCGCGGCATGACTCATTTGCGATGCATTTCGTGTTTTTCCGAAATGTGTGCAAATGTGACAATCACAATGTGACACAAAGAACATCAGAATAAAGGCAAAAAAAAAGATCGAGACGATGCTGTGATGGAAAACAAGCCGTTTAATTTTTGGGCTTCCTTTTTGCCGTGTGTGTGATCGTCAGTCGTTTTTTTACTTTGTATTATTTCTTTGATTCTGTTTTCTTCATTTTCATTAGCTTATATTGATACTCTTTTTCGGAGAAGTCGACAGTGTTTTTCTTTCGGCGGTGTTGAATGCTCATTCGCTTTATTAGTTGGTTATTAAATAGAGCGATTTTTGTTTGTCGTTGGTTGTTGTTGTGATGATGAGGCTGCTGTTTTGTTGTTGTTGTTGTTTTCATTCAAGCGCTCGTCGTATGAGAGAGGGCAAATGCGTTGATTGCCGTATTGGGGAAAGTGTATACACACACAAACCCACCAAAAATAAAATCAACAATCCCAAAAAAGCAAACTATGTGTGAGAGACATATTCATGTATGATAAACGTGCATAAAAAAAATGATGGATGAGACACATGTTTTAAAAATTAAATGAATACATGGTGTTAAACAAACCATTTTGCGGTCTAGTTTGTAATCTAAGCGTGTGAGTGCAGTTGCATGCATATGTGTGTGCTCGCGCTTTTTCTCTCTCTTGCTCGCTCTCACACTCTGATGCTCGGTTTGCCTGGTTTGCTGGGTGGCTGGAGCAGTCAGCCAATTCTGTTGCACAGCAAACAAGAGATAGGGCACACACACAATGCCACTTAACCGCAGCAACTGCACCAATATATCCGATTTTTCAAGTGATTGCATCCCTGCACACACAGACACACACTCATACTCAGCTCACACAACGGATGATGCCGTCATTTCGACAAGGCAACCGTGGAATTATGAAATAAATTAATTAGCTTTGAAAATTTTCGATAATTTTTCATTAGCATTTTGTTTTTTTTTTCATTCTTGGCTTCATGTCAGTTGGTTGCGTCCTCGTCCATTTGCCGATTGCAGAAGGCAAAAGAGATGATGGATTTTGTTGTTCACAAAAACATAATTTTTATCTGTCGCCGTTCATTTTAAATTCGTTTGCAATGAAGCCGAACGGGCTTTCACATTATCTCATTTGGATATGTAGAGAGCGAGAGAGAAGTGTGAACGCGTCAACATTAACATATAAATTGAAAGAAATGCTTTCGATGTCAATTTGTTTGACTTTAAAAGTATTCATATGTTATTTGGAAAGTCGGAGTTTTGTTTTTTGTTTCTTTCATTCTAAAAATATGTCGTTTAAGAAATGTGGATGGCACTTCTTTTTTTTTGCGAAAGACGCCTTTGCAATGGAGATCGCTTTTAGGTGGCTATCGGTAAATATGGATACATGAGGAAAAGAGCTCGAAAATGAGTTATGACACTTGACAAGTCATAAATTTGGCCTAAAAATCCAAATTGATTTATTCAATTTAGTAAAATTGTGAAAAGGCCAAACCGCCGTCGCAGCCACTGTCACCGCCACACATTACATGCAACTGGTCAATAATTCAGATTCTTCAATTTAGAATGTAGATGAGAAGGAGGATAGGAAGAAAAAAAAACAAATTTTTAAAAGCCAAAGTCAATTAACAGAAAACTAAGCGCGGCATACCTTCGCCACACTCCTATTACATAGCTTAAGCTATTAAATGCTCAAGAGTTCTTCTAAACGTAAAAGCATTCGTCATATCTCATTAGAACGGCGCGAACGAGATACAGCGACCGAATTGGGCGAGCGAGTGAATGTGAACGAGAGCGAGAGGATCACACCGGAAAGGAGTCGTCGAGAAGGAAAGAAGAAAAAAAAAATCATCTATGGAAATGACCTCATTTATTTGCGACAGTAAAAA